AAATTTCCAGTTCCTCTAAATACTACAAGTTAAAAGTGAAATAAAAATATAAAAGTGATAGTCACAGAGCATGGCTTAAAATTAATGCACCTCATTTGAAAATAATCAAGGAAGTACATCTGCATTATTTTCCAAATAGATCTGATAAATAGGCAACTCGTATCTCTTATAACTAACTTCTTGAAACAAACATTTATTATATGTCTGCTAACATTAAATCTGTAGTTACTATAACTATTCAAAGAACAACTAATTTATGTAAAAACATAGCCTCCTATCTTCCTTTATAATTCAAAAGTAGCAAAACTAACATATACCAACATTATAATAAATAATTCTGATATGTTAAAGGCAATTGCACTCTTGTGTCCAAAACAGAATATGTTCAAACACGCAAAGTACCAGATTTACAATACTGTGGTAATTCTAACCAAGAAGTACCATCAAGCCAATTCTTTACATCACACTTTGACCAAATTAAAATAGAGATGCTCTAATGATAGTTTCTGGTTCCAGTGGGGGTTTTTTTGGGGTTTTTTTTTTTTGTTTTTTTTTTTTTTTCTTTGATCTATCAAAAGCAATTGCCACTCTTGAGAAGTCTCCACATACTGAACATGCTTCACGTGTTCCTACCAAGAAGCTATCTTTCCATCTCACTTTATTTCATATGGTTATAAAGCTATGAAGGCATCACCATGTCATAAATAAAAAAAACTAGTGTCTATCACCAGGCATGCCAGAATTAAATATGACTCTCACTATAAAGCCACAATAAATGCTCAATAAATGCTCTCCAGTTCAAGAACAAAACCACAAATACCACATAGAGATGGTATAACTATGCACAACTGCTAAAAGCACAAAAATTTATATGTGTCAATATGAACATACCATTCTACTACAACTGCTCAGCATATACAGAATTAAGCAGAATCACTAATAGTTCAGCTTTCTACCGCACTTAACTGACACCTCGTATAATCTTCACAAGAAGTCCAACTCTGCACATTCTTACAATCAGCTAGGCTTGCAAACTGGCACTGATCCTTTCAACAGACGTTTCAGCTTCTCCATACTGAAAGACTTAGCAAATGCAGTTACCTGCCTTTAATAAACACCTTTTTTACTCCTCTTAATATACGACTTAACCTCGTGTGCACCTTGAAAAACAACTAAACTTACTAAAGAATTAGCAACAGAAAGAGAAAAAACATCATTAAGTAGACTTAGCAAAGTTCATCAGATGACATCCAAAGAGCTGATATGAGTAACATGATGTTTAAGAGAAAAGCTGTTTTCGCCAGTTATGGACGTAACACCATGTGTTAAATGCAGCACGACTTTCAAAAGCCATCTTTACTTTCCATAAATGAGAATGTCAATACAGCCCTAAAAAAACAAAAAACAAACAAACAAAAAACAAAACCCAAACAAACAAACATACAAAAAAAAAAAAAAAAGCCCTAGGAATTTCCACTAGAGACACTTTTCCTAGCTGATCTTTCCTCGAGGTGAGTTACTCTTTTTTACCAAGGAGATGCAGATATCGCAGTGGAGGCAAAATACTTTACGGACAGTGAAATGCCTTTTAAGATCAAGATCAATCTTCCAGATGAAGTAAAGAATCATTAGCACTTCTAGTCCAATATCCTTTCACATTTGACAGCCATGAATGGAGAAGTTCCATTCTGTTGACACATATTGGAAAAAAACACAAAAGAAACAACACCAGAAGAGACCAAACCATCAGTGAACATTTTTCTGCCAGGAGAAACAACACATCAAACATTCTCCTAACCATGCATGTAAAGTACAGCAGTTTCACTGCCTCTCTGTGGTGGTAGTGTGTTTATAGGATTTTACAATGTTTTATTATATTAATTAGGAGTTTAATGTTAGGAAGTTTCAATTGGTATGTTCCTTGTACCCCCTATTTCTTCCCCTCATAATGGTTTCTCCCAGGTTGTTTACGCCTAAGTTTTCCCGCCACTTAGCTGTCCCTCAGAGTGTCAATCTCCCTGTTCCTCCCCTTTTACATACTCTCAAATAATGTCTCCGTCCAAATTGTGCTGCCCACCTCCCTGTCTGTCATTGTAGCCACCCCCATTTTGTCCTCGAAGGTTCCTCCCCTCCCCTATCTTCTCCCCATTGGTTGTGATCAATGATGTAATTAGATTGTAATCTATTTCCATTGATTGTCCCATGTTGCTGCCCCTTCACACCCACACCCTTTGTAAATTGTAGCCTGACTCCATTTTCTCTGGCACTTGTCTCTGGAATAAAGTCTCTTTGGACTTGACACAAGTGTCCCCTCCTTTGTCCCTTCACCTTGGATCCTCATGGCACCTCAGTGCAAGCACTGCCCACACCGCGGGTGTAAATTGTAGCCAGACTCCATTTTCTCTGGCACTTGTCTGGAATAAAACCTCCTTGGACTTCACACAAGTGTCTCCTCCTTTGCCCTTTCACCTTGGATCCTCAGTGCAAGCGCTACCCACACCTCCTGGTAATCTCAGCAGAAACCCAGGGGTGGCCACTCTCAACCCTCACTGGCCACACCAAGGAATTGCTAGCCAGCCCCTTGACACCCAGAATGTGTTATACCCCTCGACTTTCAAGATTAGATCACAATACAAGTTTTTATCGAAAGTTAAAATATTAGGATCAAGAGTACAGCTAAGAGGATGCTCAGCAAAACAATCCCAAGCTCGGCCCTGATGCCTGAGTTTAGTTCATTGTTTTTCCCTCTGGTGACAAGTAATTGACTGAAACAGGTAGACCTTCATGAAGAGTCTTTCCCTTTAGAAAAAAGCAAGCAAAGAAACAAACTCTCCTCATGCCCAATCTAGAAATCTCCTGGATTTGTCTGTAAATGATGACACTATTTCAAAATCAGAAGATGAGTCACACACCATACTATCTGAAAATGTTTTACGTATTTTTTTTAGGCAATTACTACTAACAAGCATTTACCTGCTACTGTGACTTACGTATACTGTAAAACTTAATCTTTCAATTTGAGTGTCTGCAAGAGCTCTTTTGAGCCAAATTGTTTTGGCTATTGCAATTGCCATTAAACACAGGACTTTTAAACACAGGAACTGTACTAGTATATACCAAAACTTCAGAACAAACCCCAGAAAGCCCCTTTCTAGAGAATAAAAAGTCCAGTATTCAGTATTCCTTAATCCAACATTAAGGTCTTTGTATACCAAATATATTCACTGTGATGAATACATTATATGGTAAAGGTTATCATTTTCTCCACTGTGACTTTCCAAATCATGGAAAATACAAAAGCTTTTATCTCCCAACAGTAGCATACTACGTCAATTTGTCTATGGGATTGCTAAGAGCTTAAGAAGATTAAGAGAGGTTTTGAGATCAGGCTTTAAGATAAGGTTATCATTTACACCAGGAATGTCCATGCACTTTTAAAACAAAAAGTTGAAATAGAGTTTCATCAGACAAAACCTCCAATTCCAAATAATGTATACTGGAAAAATATTCTTCTCCTAATATATTTTATTTGGGAAGCCTCAGAGAGACTAATCTGCCTCATGTACTGTGTGGTCTCAGGACATAGCTGCTTTTGAACTATATAATACAACGTGAAAGTAAAAATTCAAGTTCTCCCTCAACTTTCTGCATCGTAATAGTTTACTATGTTGTCAATCACGAATTTCAAGCTTGTCTATAAAACCTAGCTCATTTTAGAGCAAGATTTCTATCAGTATAAACACCCAAGTTTCCGAGACATAAGCACTACTAAAAATACATTCTAAGAAAAGACTTAATTAGACACCTCATTTCTTCACCCTCCAGGCCTGAAGAACAATGTCTTGTTTTCTGACCTTCTCCCATACCACTTCCTAATTAGTAACTTCATATATGCATAAACAACTTAATTCTGGCTGCCATTCATGAAGAACAGCTCAGGAAAACATCTAAGGCCCTGATCCCAAAACCACACAGACACGCGTTTAAATATAAGCATGTGGGAAACTCCAGCACAGCCTTGGAAGCGGCTCTTGTGTTTGACTATAAACAAGCACATCAACCCATATGTTAGGACCACAATCCTGAAATCAGCGAAGCTTCAGGATGAACGAACCACATGTTCAAAACCAGCTCCTCAGAGGGACCCCGCTGTGGAGCGGTTTCCAAGAGGAAATCCAAACACACGTCTGTGGAACTGACGATGAGAGCCCCGAAGACACTCAGCGGGGGTATCACAAGGCAAAAGTCTGACTTCGCAATCAGCATTTTGGAGCACCACGAAAGAACTCGACGTGACCGGTCACTGTGCTCCGCGAATTCCCGCAGTTACTGTCAGCCCGCTGCGAGGGGCGGAGCCTGGCTCCGGGCACGGATACGGACACATCACCCCCTCCCTCTCTTCTCTCACACACACTCACACACACAAAAATCCTTCCAGGAGCGGGGCTCAGTCGGCAGGCTGCAGAAGGCCGGCGGCCGCCGCGTGAGGCAGGCAGGGCGGCCGAGGCCCCGACGCCGCCCGGGGCACATCAAAGTGCGATAAGGCGCAGGCGAGAGGGCGAGCGCACACAGTGCCCCGCACAGCGCAACCCCCGCGGCCGCCCCGGCAGCCAGGGGCGCGGGGCTGGGGAGCGCCGGCGGCAGCAGCGCCACAGCCGCAGGCGCCCGCCCGAGCTGCCCGCGCTTCGCACCGCCGCATCCCGACCGACCGTCGGGGAAAGAGCCATCGCCGCGCCGGGCACCGGCTCAAAGGTGGCCCCGAGCACTCCGCTGCCGGCCGGGCGGCACACGGCCTGCCGCCAGCCACCGCCGCGATCCGCCTCGCCGTGCTCAGAGCAGCGGGAGTTTGCCCTCCCCTCTCGTCCCGTCCCGCCCGTGGCCCCCACCCGGGACGGACCCCGGGCGCTGCGGAGGACAACTCCGCGGCCCTGCTGCGCTACCAGCCGGGGGCGCGACGCCCGGACCCGCTCCCAGTCCCCCGGGGCCCCTCTCCCGCTCACCTGGCGGCGGGGCTCTGGAGCCCGGGGCGCCGCGGGGTGCGCCGTGCCCGGCGGGGCTGCCCTGGCCCTGGCTCCGCGCTCCCGCCTCCGGCAAGCTCGGCCCGTGGAGGGGCGGCGGCGGGCAGAGGGCGGCGGGCGGCGGAAAGCGACCGGAACCGCCGCTCATGGCGAGTCCCGGGAAGCCGAAGCAGGAGCGGACACGGGCGCGGGTCTGGGGGAGTGCCGGGAGAAGGGAGGCAGCCGAGGGGGAGGTGGAGGCGGCGACGGCGGCCCCACCAGCGGGGGAGGAGGCAACGGAGGAGGCGGGGGGCGGCGGAGGGGAGGAGGAGAAGGCAGGCAGGAAGGGGGCGGCGGAAGAAGCCACCCATCTGCCGCTCCGGCCCGCCTCGCCGGCCTGACGGAGGTGCCGCTCGCCGCCGCTTTCCTCGCCGCGCGGAGCGACGCCGCGGTCCCGCTGGCGGGCAGGGGCGTGAAAGCCGGCGTCGGGCTGCGCCCCGGGGGCTGCCGAGCGGGCGGCCACCGGCATCGCCGCCCGCTCCGGCCGCCGCCCCAAGAGCAGCCGCACCGCGGGGACGGCGGAGCGGTCAGCGCCGGCGGGGACGCGTGGGCGGCATGGGCGGCGTGGGGAGCCTCCGGCCGGGGCGCAGCCCACCGCCGGGCGGGGGGCGCCGCTGCCCAGCCGTGCCGGCAGCTCGAGCCGCGCAGCTGCTTAGTGCTGCCGCCGAGGAGGAGGAGGAAGTCTCCCCGCCTGCTTCCTCCCTCCCTGCCTCCCTCCTTCCCTCCCTGCCCCAGCGGCCCGCCGGCAGTCCGGCGCCTCCCCAAGGCTTCTCGCTGCCCGCAGCAGCGCCGCCGCAGGGCGTGACGACCCGCGGGGCGCGCACGGGCGCGGCCGCCCCGCACTGCGGCGGGGCCCCCTCGGGACAGCGGGAGCGGGGTCTGTGCCGGGACCCCGGCGGGCCGCAGCCCTTGCGAGCAGAGCCCGGAACCATCCTCGCCCTGTCCCGGCAAGGGCGCCGCCGCCCTTCGCCCTCGCTGTCCGGCTGCGCGCCCCCCGAGCCGGCACGGCGCTCCGGGGGCGGGGGGCAAAGGTTGCCATCGACGGGTGAGCCCGCCCCCACGGGCACGTGTAAGGAGCGGGGACCGCCCATCCCGGCGTCAGCGGGGGGCGGTGAGCACCGATCACTCACAGGGATAAACCCGCCTGCCGGTTTGTATGCAAAAAAGTCAAGGATGCCGGTAAAGGGATAGGTTAAGGACAGGGATGTCCTTAAGCTGTCACGGTGACGCCGGTTTCGTCGTCAGACGGACAGGATTCTAGCGAATCGGTTGGCCTGAGGAGGCGCCAGGAGCGCAGCCGAGACGCAGCGAAGAGTTTCTCTCAAAGTGAGGGAAATGCCTCTGTGCGTGCGTCCTCTGCGATGCGGAGAAACAGCTGCGTGTGCGGAGAGAGCCCAGCGGGCTTGGCTCTCAGGAAGAGTGGAACAGTGGGAAAAATGACACATGCATTAACAAAGAAAACGCATAGCGAAATTTACTAGCCAGAGGGGTGCACTTGCTGTCCTCAGTGGAACAGCAGTAATTTTCTGAGTCCTAAATGTGCAGACATAATTATTTTGCGCATCACAGCAGTGCTTCTTTCTCCTGTGTGCGTGCCATGCTATGAGTGGGAAATGTTTCCACAAATCCTGCATTTGCCAGCATTGCCCCACTGTGCCAGTCTTTTCCCTCACTTCATGTCATTTGTTGGAGGTTTTCGTCCGATGTGGGAGCAAGTGACCATGACTCCCCAGAAGATTAACGACTCTGGGGGATTTTAGCAGACTATTGATGAAATTCTTGTGTCCCAACAATTTTTTAAGGTCATTCAAAACCTTTCTTGATTTGTTAGTTAAAGCTTCATGGAGTGTTTCAGGTCTCCAGCCCTGAAATAGAAAACAACTTCAACAGCTCCTGTCTCCTGATTCAGTGAAACATGCGGATCTGAAGTACCTTCCTTACACTTCCCCTTTCCGAGGTGTCTGCGCTTCTTTCAGATTGCTGCTCTCTGGCATGCACATGCAGCCTGCACGGAGCTCTTGGCAGTTCACAGCAGGCAGAAAATGATGAAGAGAGGCACTATTGCTTTTGTAATGATTCATTTTTCACTCACTTCCTGGGGGGAAGTTGCTTTAAAACTACTCCCATGTTGAAGGTAATACTTAAAAGTGCATTGTGGCAAAGACTTCCTTTGTTGTGAGCCCTCCAAAAATGGCAAATTTGAATACTAATTATACACTACAGGGAAAGGTGTGAAAATAGCACCAGTCCTTCAGCTAACACAATCTTTCTAATCTTTTTGTATACAGAAATAAGCAAAGAAAAGATATTTCTGCAGTATGAAGTGACTTCAGCTGTTAGTCTAACACACACTCCAGACTCCAGGCTGGCTGGAAGTTGAGGAAGGCTGCTTCTGTGCAATTTGGGGCAGGAGTCTTGCAGACATAACCTCACCATTGCAGTGCACTGCACTTCATTTTCTTCTGGAGCTTTGGTGTTCCATTTTCCTGATAGTTCTAAATTTAAATAAAGCCTTTTCAAGAGAACATCATTTAAAAAGCTAGATACAGATTTTTTTTTTTTTTTCTGGAGTCACTTTACTCAAGTATGAGAAGAGTCTAATACCCTATTAGTTAGGGTAGGTTACCCTATTAGTTAGGGTAGGTGCCACATTTGGAAAACAGGCAATCTTTTAGCAGTGTACAAAAAGCCTTCAGATCTGCTTAAGGTCTTCAGGTACTTAAAGACGAGGTTTTGTCTAAGGTTTAAAACAGCTGTTAACTCATTTTTCTGAACAGACACATACTGCTGGCCATCCAGAATTACACTCCTTGGTAGTTTATATCAAGTAGATCCAGGGAAAATTTGTAGAAAGCTTTTTTTTCTCCTTTGTTTTTATTTTTGTTATAAAGTTTACAAATTTGCAATGCTGTCTGAAAAAGCGGTAAAAAATTAAAGTCTAGGTATCCTTACCTCTCCCAATGGTCTGAAATAATCAGTTACAGGTGCGATATTCAGGGTTCTTACTGTGGGATTAGATGTATTGTTTCACTAAAAATTGAAAAACATCCACTGTGCCCAGAGTATCTCTTAAAAGCTGATAGCCTCTGAAATGGTGTTTAAGACTTTGCATAAGCCAGACTTTACCATGGGATGATTCCTACCATGAATCCTTCATTATCACTGCTTTGTTTCTGTTGGTGTTGCTGAAGTTCTGATGATTAAAAAAAAAAAAATGAAAATTACTGCAAGTAAGGCTGGAAAGACTGAAAAAAATTATTATAGACCTCGAAAATTGATATGATAACTGATCTGCGAAATGCTTCAGAGACACTGGGGACTATTCATCTGAAGAGGTGAGACAATCTGTAGCACAGGTCAAGTGCCCATGCAGCAATGCCCAGAGCTGCACTGGAACACTGTGGTCTGATCACTGTCACTGAGGTGTGGAGGGACAAACTGCATGGCTGGAGCGCTGCATCAGGGCTATAAACCCTCCAGAAGGGACAGGCAAGGAGGGAGGAGTGGGCAGCACTGGGAATGATGTTACCTCTGTGTGGAAAATGGATGAACTGCAGAGAGCTGCCATGGAAAACCAGCAATGAACAGGTAAAATGGGTAAAAATGTATAGGCAAAAACTGGGGTCAAACTAACAAGGGAAATCTCATGGCTGATGTTTACTACAGGCCACCAGACCTAGAGGAGGATGTTAATGAAGTGTTTTTACTTCAGCTACAGGAAGAGTCACACTCCAGGCTCTGATACAGGTGAGGGGCTTTAACCGCTCTGACATCTGCTGGGAAAGTAGCACAGCAATTTCTGTCTCATGTAAGCAGGCCAGGAGACTCCTGGAGTGCATTAATCCAGGTGATAGCCCAACCAGAGAATAAACTTTACCACAATAATAAGAATAATAAGGACTTCTGCAGGTGTGTGGTCAGAAAAGGAGACCAAAATAAATGTAAGCCCCCAATAAATAGGATAACTGGTCTAGTGCAGAAAAGGATGAGGCACTCATCATTTTTTTGTTTCAGTTTTCAGTGCTAAACTCTCTTCCCACATTTCTTGAGCCCCTGGTACCTAATCTAAATTAACCCTTCTTTGGTTTAGAGTAATCCTTCTCCAATAAGTTTTGATTTGTGTGGAAAAAATACACAGTTAAAATGAGTATGAGAAATACAATACGGAAGGGACAGTGCAGGCAAAAGCATAGGTAGTTTCATCATGCATTTTATTTTATCAGTGGCAGGATGTTTCTCACCTTTCAGAAGCTGCTCTGGATTAAAAAAAGATGACAAGATTTTTACGCTGTGATGGCACAGACTTTCCACAAGAAACCCAGGTAAAACAGCTTCAGTCATTCTAAATTTCTTATACTCTAGTCTTCAGATACATTAAAATGCCCATGCAAGAGGGATGTTGCGAAGCTCTTTCATGTTACAGTGGAGAATATGACATTGTTTGTAGTAGATAATGGAGCTTTATCTTACACCGTAAAACACCATTCATGCATCCCTCTGTTTCTGAACAAATAGTAGCAAAAATATGGACCAGCTTTCTCAAATGACTATTAGACATGGTAGGTAATATTTAAGCACAATGTGAAGTTGCATGATTCTGATAGCTACCAAGTAATGGTGGAAGAGTGTAGCCAGACTGGATGGAACATCAAACTGAAGAAAAGTAGACCTGCTGTTACTGATTTAAAAGCTAACCTTTGGGCAGTTAGATTCCTGGACTGTGTTCACTCCCCTTCTGCTCAGATTTTACCTAGTGTATATTCAAGGGACTGTCATGGGTGGTCTCGTGGGGAAAGTGGGAAAAGGTGCACCACACTCTTTGGCTCACAATTTGCTTTACACAAATACATCCCTGGGCTGTCAGTATGTTGCAAACAGCTTCTCTTTTATCCCATAGCAATCTAGTTGACATTCCACATTACAAGTTACCTTCTAATGCTATCCATCCTATGGATTGATGAAAGGATTAGATAACTGAAGTTATATTCTTTTGAATTCATAGTGATACAAGAACCGATATATCAATATTATCATAATTGATAAAAGAACTAGAGGAGTGGGGGATTGTTACCAAGTCTCATTCTCCCTGTGTAGCTGCCAGTAAAAAAAAATCTCATGGCACATGTTGACTGCCAGTAGATTATAGAACCTTGAACAGTGTCCCTGAACTACTCACTGCAGCTGTTCCCAGGAAAAGTGGTATAGTTAATATTCTTAATGAGTAAGGTGCATGTACTGAACAACACCAGCAATATACTTTACCTATCTTGGTGTGGTATTCAGGAAATCAGGAAAGGATTCAACCCCTATCACTCTAGATATACAGAGTCACTTTGCTGGACTTTCAAGGAAAAGGAATAAGGGAAACTGAGAATGAAACTAGTCTTTACTGAGGCTTGGCTACAATCCAATAATTATTTTTCCTCCACTAGGAACTGATAAATGAATAAGTGAAAGCTGTCATTCAGC